GTCTTCAACATTTGGTGTTCCCTGTGTAGCCACAGCATCACATGGAGACTCTGTGACCACACCGTCTTCAACCTGACAAAGGTTAGCAGTGTTCTCCGACAACCATTTTGATTTTCTCAGGGGCTCCCAGATTTCAGAGCGGTTCCTGCTGCCCTGCGCACAAGACTCGATGGAGTTGTCAGAGCTGCTCCTTCGTTTCCTTGATCTTAACCTTTTATTGGAGAAGCTTCCTTCCACTGTCGATAATAAAATCAGGATTAAAATGCTGTTATAAGTTAAGAATAATTATCCTTTGTTTATTTTCGTTCAGTACTTATAGCCAACGGCTAATGGAACTGAATAATTAAATTTCAGACACCAATAATTCAAGTTAAACGTGCCAAGGTCAAAAACCACCAACTGGAATCAGGTAAACAATCTGAGGATTCACGTTAAATGTTTATCCTGTTGGCACGACATTAGTGAGAGAATCTTCTGACGATATTACAGTTATCGTAAGAGGTCTCTCCCACTGCCATTGACAGATTGAGTTTAGAGGTTTTGATCTAGTGATCTCACGCTCATCGATGTGAGTTGCTTCTCTCATAACCAAGGCGTTAGCCAGCGTATGAACATCCAGTGAGACTCTCTCACTGCCATAAAACGTTCTGAGGTTTTACTGACATCAGACTAAAACCCAACATTAAAGAGGGTGAAATCAAGTGTCGCCATCTCCTCAATGGTAGTTTTCAGTTCTGTCTCCACGGCTTTGACTGGCTTGTTCACATCCATTGAGAATAACTTGAAACTTGTTTCCTTAGTTTTTTTCTTTTTTAAATACCAAAAATAAGAATCAAAATGCTATTTTAGTGTCTAAGGCATACAAAGCCTAACTTTCATTATTATGGACAAAAATGTGTACTAACTGACAGGCCACGGGTAAGAACGTCCCCTAGATTTTTTGGCCATTTTAAAGGTGCTCAAAAGTAGCTGAATTTTGGCATGTGGGCTTCGCTTTACCTGAGAAACATTGCTTTGAAGTTTTTTTCGCTGGGGTGCTCTTCGTTCTCGAGAAATAACGTATGCAAAAAACTCAGTTTTCCAAGTGGCATTTTTTGAAGATCTTTTGTTGAACGAAAAACAAAAGAAACCTTCTTATTATTTTGTTGAACAGCAAACTATGCCACATGCCAAAATTCAGCTAGTTCTGAGCACTTTCAAAAATGGCCGTAAAATCCAGGGGACGTTCTTGCCCGCGGCCTTTCAGTTATCCATGAGTACTAATTAGTCATGTATATTCAATGAAAAATCAGTCTCCATAGACAGAGCAATATTACCCTTCGAAGACTCCACTGCTGATGCTGCAATGACATGGTTGAATGCATTGATCTCACTTGCATTGATGTTAGTTGCATCAATTACACACTCGATGA